CCTATTATTCATACATCTAACAGTTAATATTTTGTGAAATTTAAAGTGCGGAAAATAAACTACGCTATTACAAGGCTTCGGGTATTTACATAGCAAAAAACAAACCCGTAAAAAAATGATAAATGAAAAGGAGAAAAATCCCAATTAATCTATTACAACTTGTGAGCAATTACATTAATATGGTAAAAATAAAATAATAAAGCGCGCGCGATGAAATTAAGAACGATAAGAAATTAGGGTTTTGACCCCGTCTAACCTAATCGAAAAGGAAATTATTTTTGTGGTTTTTGATTATTTCTTAAGAGAAGAAAAGAATTAGGTTTTTAAATTAAATACACAATTAATTAGTAATTAAATTAATTAAAGAAAATAATTTACATGGCCTATTTTTTTGTATTTTGGTTATTTTTAGGAAAAAAAAGGAAAGTAGAAATTAAATTATTAAAACCCTAATTGTTCTAATTAATTTTAATTTATTTACAAAAAGAAATTAAAGTTACCTAAAATTAAATAACCTAATTCAATTAATTTTTGTATAAAAAATAAATATCCTAAATCTAATTGGATGAAAATATTTTTTGTGATTTTTTTGAATAAAAGAAAATTAATTTGTGTTAGTAAAAACAAATAAATAAATTAAATAAAACAAAATATAAAAAGAAAAGATAAAGAGATACTGGGCCTGGTTGTAAGTGATTTGGGGTGTGTGGATAGCAAATCTGGCCCAAGAAAATAAGGTCCACGTTGACCTTTTGAATCCCATGCTTAGCTTTGACCAAGGCCTTTGGTGCTCCTTCATCTAATGGCCCTTAGATCTGGCCATCTGGACACTTGGCTGGCTGGATCATGATGGACCATGGTGGTCATCCCACCTGTGCACGCATGTGATCACTGAAAGAAAAAACATATGAAATAATTGGGGGGACCTGGGATTCGAACCCAGGCCCCAAAGAATTTTCCCACTACACTAATGCCAGTTGCGCTGCACGTTTTTGTTGTATATAGAATGGACAATAATCATAATATATAATAATGCACGTTAATGGAAAAAGAGCTAGAATTCAAATCAGCGAATGAGAGGGTGCCACGCCAGTCATCCCTGACCTCGCTCCATTGGTAAAAGTTATAAATTTTTACCTACAGACGTGTGTCCGTCACTACAACTCTGGCTTATCTCAAAATCCTCCATGGGCACGATAAATGACTTCTAATGCCATGAATCGAACCGTCTTGGCATCCTGAACATCATGATACCCTTCATGGGGGCTAATTTTGCCTGCACACGAAAACCCTAAAACGAAACCAAGAACCCTAACAATGGCAATTCTTGATACAGTCCATAAAAACAAAATTAAATGGCATAGATAGCTTGAAAATGTGATAATGAACAAGAATATACTATTAAAACATGATGAATTTGCAAGAATAACAAGATTCAGTTTTGGAAATATGGGAAAACCGTGCGAGTCGTGGGGACGAATTCTGGGCACTAGCGCGCTTGTTTTTGATTGGTACTGCTTGCTTGCACTCCCAGGAAGCGAATGGGATGGTTAGGAAGCCTTGTAATTGCCTGGAACTATGAATTCGACTCAACACTTTTTTGTGTTTTTTTTCAAGTTTGTTCTGACTTCTCACGCCTCTCTAACCTCTTGATTTTTATTTGTTGATGTTCCTTATGTATTGAGGATTGGATTAGGGTTGCAAACATGATCTCAATCTTTTCCAATTATTGATTTTGATCTTGATTTGATTCACTTAAAAATCCTTCCAAAAATAAGCCAAACTCAATTTTTTGTGCACACCAAGGCTTTGCATGAATTCAATCTTTTGCCAACTGGATATAAGACCTGAAACATGCACAATATCTTGAGGTTTCAATGTTTTAGATTTTTTCATGATTTGTTTTGATTAAAATTGATTTAATTCAAATAAAAATCCAAATAAATAGTAAAAACAAGATAAAGACAAGTGGAAAGAGCCAGGGCTCATGGACCAATGCTACCAACTCAAGACAAGTGCAAAAAGTTAGGCCCATTTAGCAAAAATTGCAATTTTAGGCATAGTTGACTTTTGCCAATTTTGCAAAAAGGGTCAACTTCACCAATGCATAACTTCCTCAATTTTGACTATTTGAAGATTTTCTTGGACTTTTTAGAAAGCTTGAGATGTCCTCTAAGCAGAATTTTTGGTCTCATATCAATTTGGTATTCCATGTTCATGTATGAATCTTTGACAAAAAATGTGCTTTTGTTGACTTTTCAAAATGACCTATAATGTCCAAATTCATAACTTCTTGTGAGTGAATATTTTGAACTTGGGAGCTGAAGATGAATTGTAGAGAATTGCATACTCTTCAAAATGAGCTTTGGATGGGTCATTTCTCATAAAGTATGAGAAATCTATGCTTGGTCAAAGTTGAGTTGACTTTTCCTGCAAAACCCTAATTTAGCAACTTTTGGTTCTTGATGAATTATGAGCAATCCTTGATGAATCATGATTAACCCTTGATCAAATGATGAAATATAATTCAAAATGAGGATGTTGACCAACAATCTTGAAGTTTGACTATATGTGGGCCACCGTTGACTTTTGCCCTAGCACAATCAATTTTCAGACCTTTGAGTAATTGACTTAGCAAACTTCCTTTGCAAGGCTTGAAACTTGACATGGATGATCTTGAGAACATATTAGGACAATGGTGAGAATTTGGGATCCCTTGGAATCAAGTATCTTGATGCAACATGAAACCCTAATTTGAGGTAGACTGCCTTAAGAGAGAGCTTGTCTGGTCAACCCTTGGACTTCCTTGAGCAACTTGAGGATCTTTCTTGAAATGTTTTGAGAAATATGGGAGGGAAAATTTTGGGGTACAACAGGTAGGAATACCTTACAGATTATGGCCAGTGAGGAGTCCCTACAGGATAGGGATGATGATATAGACAGAATCCCTACGGGCTAAGGATATCATTGGATGAAGGGATAACCCTTGCAGGTTCGCAAATTATAGTGGAATTTGTGAAAGGTATCCTTAGAAGGTAGGTTTTTAGTATTGTCCTACAGATATTCTACCCTCCCTATAAGGTGGCTTTCTTAAAGGTATCATGAATGACACTAGATGGAAAGGCATAAGGGCCTCCCTTAAGCGGAGTCTCTTTACAGACCGAAACATTCGTCTCTAAGTCATGAAAGGTCTCATCATGAGTTTCTAGTTTAAAGGCCATACAAAGATTCATAGGTATAATTACAAAGTGTTACTTCCCAAGAGGATGTCTCTCGAGAGATATTCCTTTTGCGGAATTTCATCGACTCTATGCGAAGTCGTCACATAAACTCATACGGTTGATGTAACCCCTTGGCTAATAGATGAACCTTCTTTCTAAGGTTTTTGAGAATATTTTTTTCCGTAAAATTATAAATCCCACCACAGATATATAAATATAATGAATAGCAAAAAAAAAGCAAGAAAATACATATATAATCAAATAGGAAAGAATAAAACCCAAAAATAAAGAAAAACCCTAAAACCTAAAGATGAGACTTCTAAACCCGGGGTTGAATCCCTAACAGAGTCGCCAATTGTTGCAACTGGTTTTTAAATCAGAGTCGCCACCCTTAATCTTTATCCTAAAGGAATGGAGTATAAAGGAATAACCCTAAAAGTCAGAGATTCTAGATTTGGACTCGGTTCTAGACGAGAGGGAGGTGTTAGGCACCCCTTATCTACCTTGTTCACAAAGATACTAGGTTTAGAAGAGCGATCTTAGGAAATAGGGTTTTTAATTATTATTGAGAAAAAGGCTTTGAATTTTATTTAGCGAGACTCACCACGATTTTTGATCGCATGTCTACGTATCCTCTTAGGAGGAATCAGAGTCTCATTTCGTAGTTTGTGGGGTTGTTTCTATTTTTTTATGGATCGTGAAATATATTTGAATTTCCCGCATACATGGTCTAAGAGTGTGAATATCGGAGTTTGTTAGACCAAGTACGCAGTTGATTTAGATATATTCATATTCCTTTTTGAAAATTAATTTTTAAAATTAATTTAATTTGCGAAAAAAGATTTGGTGTTTGGTTGAATATTTTTTTATATATAGAGCGAGGGAGTCTGATATAGTCTCTCATCACGTGGCTAGATATTGGTCATGTGTCGCTCGCATATGTAGTAATTTGATGAATCGCGCGGAATTATTTATAAAAATAAATAATAATATATTATTATAAATATATAGATATAAATATATAACTATATATAAATATAAAAATAAATGAATGAATATATAAATGAAATTAAAATAATAAATATAAAAAAGAAAATATTTGAAATTATAAAGAAAATAAAATAATATAAAAAACATGAGGAGGTACGTTTTATATTAAACTAGTAAAATAGAGGGGTGTCAAAATAAATAAATGAATATATAAATGAAATTAAAATAATAAATATAAAAAAGAAAATATTTGAAATAATAAAGAAAATAAAATAATATAAAAAACGTGAGGAGGTACGTTTTATATTAAACTAGTAAAACAGAGGGGTGTCATTAAGAATGGAGTAAGGATCTAAGTTCAGATATTGGACTTAACCCATTAGACTGGTGGGGTATGAGTTTAAACGAGAAGGGTGTAGCAGCAAAATGAGGGTCCATGAAGCCCAAAATCCTAAACTTGTACTTAATCCATCTCTCTTCTCGTGAATATTTCCTCTCCGGCCTTCTCTTTCCATTCTCAGGCCAACAACCCATCCTTTTCTTCTCCACACATCAAACAAAATACAAATCCATATGAAAAAGAAAATAGCAACGCACCGTGAATTCAGAATATGAACATGAGCCTTTATTTCCAATTTCTTCTATGAGTTACTGTAAGATTCACTTACAGGTTTAGAGAAATTAGTGAGGTTATAGATTGGAATTCGTGACATCACAGTGGTGTTGACCGGAGGCTGATGAAGATGGCGTTTTGCGGTGAGACTGAAGCGCAAGGCGGTTGCGGATCCGTTATGGGATTGAGGAGATTGGGTCTGGTGATGGTTTGACGTCTGCGATCCCGGATAACCGTCGATGCTTCTGCGCAAAGGAGGGCTTTGTATCGGTGAATGAATTTGGCCGAGGCAGATGCAGCAGTGAGGGCTGGACGATTGGTTCCGAGAACGGAAGCGTGGCGTCAGAGGAGGTCTCGGTGGGTCGCGGTGTTCGGCGCCAGAAGATATGAACAATGGTGGATGAAGTAGAGGTAATTATATTTTGCGGTTCCGGTTTCCTTATTCCCTTTTCCTATAAAAATTTAAACACAACAAACAAACAAAATAGATACGCAAACAAAAATGATGATTGTTTGGTTGCTTGAACAATTCTGCAGATTGTTTTGAAACGGTGATGTTAGTTATTTGAACAAGGTAATTTTTTTTGATTGAAAAAGGGATGTTTGTATTGATGCTAAAAATTTGTATTTGATATTAATACAGTGGAGTTTTATGAAAAGTTTATGAGGTGATCATTATGTGAGTTTTTCAGCAATAGAAATTAGTGACAATAGGATGCTTGGTGAAACGTGAGAATTTGACAAATTCAGATAGAAAAAATTTGACGCATTCACTTAGTACTGAGACTTAAAAACTAGAGTATCAAATGTAAAAACCTAAGATCTTTTATCCGTGATTTAGAGATAATACACTAAAGATCAATCATTGCAATAGTATATCCAAAAAAAACATGTGTTTGAAATCTTGTGAATGGCGTCTGTGAATAGAAAATATTAGTGTTTCTTCAAGCCAAAAACAAAACAAAGCTAAAGTGAAAAGAAAAATGTGAGTGACAAATTGTTGATATTCTGGATTGAAATTGTTGATTTGTTGATGAATTGTAGATACTAGAGGAAGGCAGGAAATTGAGGCTTAGGTTAGAATTGTGGTGAAAGGGTGGAAGTTTTGTTGACAGAAAAGAAGGGTTTGGTACAAGTGTTGTGAAATCGGCCTCCCCTCCATGTAAAATTTGGACTTTATTTATAATAAAATATTAGGTTAAATTAAGAAGATAATAATCAAATAATTGATCAAAATTAAAGCCAAATTTAATTTGATTTCAATTTTTTAATCAATTATATTGATTTCTTCCTAAAAATAAAAACTATCCTAAAACTACAACATTTTTTAAAATCTTTTAAAATCTTATTTATTTTATAATTTTTTTGGTTATTTTTTTAGAATAAAAATTGAAAAAATGTAAAAAAAAAACTATTTTTTGAAATTTCATTAACTAAAAAAACGAAAACAACAATTTAATAATAAAAAAATATGATTTTTTATGATTTTGAAAATAATTAAAAATAGAAATAAAGTTAATAACAAATAAACAGAAAAAAAAAATCCAAAGTGCACTAAGTGAGATTCGAATCCTTGACCATATGCTTCCAAGCTATGCTTCCTTATCAAGTGTGGTATGTTACTAATTTGTAAATAAACTCAATTTGAAAGTATACGAAATGTGTGTAAATATTTATTTATTCAAAAATACAAATAATCTGAAATAAATCATTATATTTTTAAATAGGTTTGTAAGAGAATATTTATAAAATTCAAATAATATTATAAAAATAATGTTTAAAATATCTTTTATTGTAGAAATAAAAGAACGAACAAATTTGGGGTATGACAGAGTGATTGACAGATTTTGACAAGTCAAAGAAGAGCAAGGTAAAACTTACTGATAATAGTTCGTTGCAAGCAGAAGGTACTGGCAACATAGTCTTTCAAATGAGTAATGGAGGGGAAACTATGATCAAATATGTGTTATATGTACCTGAAATGAAGTGCAACTTGCTAAATGTTGGACAACTAGTCTAAAAAGGCTTCTCAGTTGTCATGAAAGATGAAGTTTTGAAATTGTTCTACATCAAGAATAATTTGGTCTTAAAATCTCCATTGTCGAAGAATGAGACATTTAAGACTATGATCAATTTGACAGAAGTTCAATATTTGAAAACTGTTGTTGACCACAAGGATAATTGGTTATGGCATTTGAGGTTTGGACATTTGAATTTTCGATCACTTAATCGACTAATTACTTAAGATATGGTTATTATTATACCAAGTCTTGAGATGCCTGACAAAGTTTGTGAAGGTTGATTAGTAGGAAAGCAATTCAGAAATTTTTTTGTTTCGACTATGCCAATGAGATCATCCTGCGTTCTCGAAGTGGTATATTTAGATGTATGTAGACCATTCGAAGAATATACCATTGGTGTAAACAAATATTTTATTTCAGTTGTCGACGAGTTTATACGAAAGTTGTGGATCTATGTCATCAAGAGAAAAGACGAAGTATTTGAAATCTTTAAGAGATTCAAGATGCTTGTCGAAAACCAGAGTGAGAAGAGGATCAAAGTTTTGAGAACAGATGGAGGTGGCGAATACACTTCAAAGATGTTTGAAAAATTCTATGAAGAACATGGTGTTGATCATGAGGTAATTTCTCCTTAACGCCTCAACATAATGGAGTTGCAGAAAGAAGAAACATAACCATATTTGATATGGCGAAATGCATGCTGAAGCCAAAGAATTTGCCAAAATCTTTATGGGGCGAAGCTGTTTCGACTGCAGTTTATATCCTAAACAGGCGTACTACCAAGATATTGAAGAACAAGGTTTCTGAAGAAGTATGAAGTGACAAATGACCAACAGTGAGTCATTTGAAGGTGTTTGGCTCTATGTGTTACAAGCATGTTCCTGATGCGAGAAGAAGGAAGCTTGATGACAAGAGGGAACCTATGATTCTGATAGGATATCACAAGACTGGTGCATATAGACTATTCAACCCAATTAATGAGAAGATTGTGTTAAGTCAAGATATTGTGATTAATGAAATTTTTTTTCTGGGATTGGAATTCTAGTAATTCAATTAACAAGTCATTGACGAGCTCCAATTTTGATGAAGAAACTAATGAAGTCGAAGTCAAAGAAATTGTTTAGAATCCAGTCAAATTCGAAGTAGAAGCAGTTGTTGACATTCCAGAAATAGTAGAAGTTGAAGAGGCTATGGTTGAACAAGTCAAAGACCTCAAAGAAATAGAGTTCTTCCAATAAGACTTCATGATTATGAAGTGGTAGGTGATGAAGAAGTCACATCAGATGGAGAATTAGTTCATTTTGCTTTACTTGCAAGTGCTGAACCAATTAACTATAGTGAAGCTTTGAAGACTAAACAATGGAGGTTAGCTATGGTCGAAGAGTTACATGCAATCGTAAAAAACAACACATGGGAGTTAGCCGAATTGCCAGCATAAACAAAAGCTATCAAAGTAAAGTGGGTGTTCAAGTTGAAACACAATGATGATGGCTTGATAGCAAGACACAAAGCAAGATTAATATCTTGAGGTTTTCTTCAAAGAGCAGGACTCTACTACTTTGAAGTATTTGCCCCAGTAGCAAGATTGGAGGTTGTTCAACTAGTGGTAGCATTGACATACAATCAAGGTTGGTCGACATTTCATTTAGATGTGAAATTAACATTTCTGAATGGTCCTTTAGATGAAGAGGTCTATGTCACACAACCTCCAGGGTTTGTGATTCACAAGGAAGCGAGTAAAGTATATAAGTTGCACAAAGCACTCTATGGGCATGGAACAAGAAGATCGACTCATACTTAGTCGAATTGGAATTTATCAAATGTAAATCTAAGTATGGTGTCTATGTTCAGGTTGTAACACAAGATATAAAAATCATCAGCTTATATGTAGATGACTTGCTGGTAACTGAAAATAGCTTGGAGAACTTGTTGAAGTTCAAAGACCTAATGATGAAGGAATTTGAAATGTCGGATCTGGGAAAATTGTGTTATTTCCTAGGCATGTAATTTCAAATGTCGAAGCAAGGTATGATGCTACATCAAAGAAATTATGTCAAAGAGATACTCAAGAGATTCATAATGGATGATTCGAATCCTGCATCCTCACCTTTCGAACCAAATTTAAAGTTGGAGAAGAATAGAGAGGAAGAAAAAGTCGATGTAATTTTGTTTAAGAAAATCATGGGATCTCTGAGATATGTGTGCAACAGTCGACCTGATATAGGTTTCGCTATCAGATTAATAAGCAGATATATGAGTGAACCAAGAGTGTCACATATGAAGGCTGCAAGAAGAATCCTGAGATATTTGAAGGGTTTGATAAATCGTGGAATATTATTTCGACGAGATTCTGAAGACAAAGAAGCAATAGTTAATTATTTTTCAGATGTTGATTGATGTGGAGATAAGGAAGATCGAAGAAGCACAACTGAATATTTCTTTCAAGTATTTGGTGCCCCAATCTCATGGTGTTCGAAGAAGCAACCTGTGGTGGCATTGTCATCGTGTGAAGCTAAATTTATAGCAGGATTCTATGTTGCATGTCAAGCAATTTGGATCAGATCTGTACTTAAAGAAATGGAGGTCGAAGTGAAGAAACCTATAGTGTTGCAAATCGACAACAAGTCAGTCATAAATCTGGCGAAGAATCCAATTCTACATGGAAAAAGTAAACATATCTAAGCTAGGTTTCACTTCTTGAGGGAAAAGGTAAATTGAGGTCAACTTGAAATTAGGCATTGCTCAAGTGAACCACAGTTGACTGACATTTTCATTAAAGGATTGAAGATCAACATATTCCTAATTTTGAGAAAGAAATTAAGAATAGTTCAGATCGACTATGACTAGCGTATGTTCGACAACTTGGATTATGAGGGTGTGTTGAAATATTAAAATATATTAGATTAGATTTGATTAGCTTTAATATTTAATTATAATCTAAGTTGTGTTAGCCCAAGCCCAAATAGGATTGTATATAAATAGTCATAGTATGTATACCTTATTCTGTACAATTCATTAAGTGAATAATGGAATCCTTATTTCCTTTATTATTTTCTCTTTCTCTCCTCACTAAAAGTGTCTCACGCACTAAAAGAAAGATGTAATACTAATACTATATAACTAGATTAAGACTCGTGATGCGCGATTTTAAATTACTTTTTACTTAATTTTAATTATGTTAAGAATGGTTATTTTAACAAATATGATTGATAACTTTATACCATTAATTATTTATTATGAATTATAATTGAGACTGCGATATCAATTAATTACAAATAAAAAGTATATTTTATGTTAATATTATTTTATTGTTGATATTAGTTAAAATATGTGAGTTTCTTTAAAAATATTATATTTTTTTTATTAAGCAAACTATAAATTGTATATACTTATATATGAAAAATAAAAAATATTGTGTTTGTCTTTAGTTTATTTGTCCTACATGATATGAAGGATGTAGAATAAAAAGAATCTAAAAATATTTTAGACATTATATTGAAAAGATATCTCACAAATTTTTTCTTTCATTTTTATAATTTAAAAATAATTGCAAGAAAATATAAATGTTGTTTTATAAATATTATGTAAATAATAAATATATCAAAGTTAGTAAGTATTTGTTAGGTTAATACGTTTTTTTATGTCATTTTGTAAATCTTTTTTATAAGAAACAGAAATAATTCTTACTTCTAAAAAACTATCTCAATTTGTTATTAATGATATTGTGCAAAGTTTATGTGATATTGTTTTTAAACAAAAATAATAAATTCTATTAGGAATTTCAAACTCTTCTCACTCAGATCTTACTAAAGGCTCTGCTCATTGTATATTTGTAGTTATTAGAATTCTATGAAGAAATAATAGAGAATATGATGAGTCCTACTTCACATTAATAGTTTAGATTTAACTTTAAGTGATATCTTAGGATATGAAAGATCAGCAAGTTTTATACTAAACTTCCACTGATGGAAGTTGGCCTTTGAAATATCAGGATATGAAAGATCAACAAGTTTTGCACTAAACTTCCAATACTGGAAGTTGGCCTTTGAAATACCAGGATATGAAAGATCAGCAAGTTTTCCACTAAACTTCTACTGGTGGAAGTTGGCCTTTGAAATATCTCGAGTCTCGTTTTTCACTAAACTCCCACTGGTGGAGGCTGGCTATGATACGGTGGAAGAATTGACTTGAGGTTTTGCGTTTGTGTTCGCAAATGTTTTGATTTAGCAAGAGTCGCCATCGACTTTTTATTTTATCCCAAGGAAAGGTCAAAAAGCACAGGAAAGACCTTTGAGATGTTTTCTTGGGTTCAGGGAGTAGATTATAGAAAGGGAAGGTATTAGCACCCTTTCTATCCATGGTTATCCATGGGCTCTTAGTTACTTGTTTAGATCACTTGCTTTGCTTTTTCTATTGTTTGAAATGGTGCTTTTCAATTGTTTGAAATGGTGCTTTGTGTGTGATTTTGAAATATGTTTTGAAAAGAGGCCATCGTTGTGGCAACCTTTGTAATGATTCTTGTTTGAATGTATACAAAGGTGTTTTTGTCTTTTGAAAAGTTTCCAATGTTTGAAAGTAGGGTTTTGAAGTTGAGTAATGAAGTGTGTTTTGAAGATAGCAAGGATGTGTTTGTAAGCTTTGATCAAGTAACTAAGAGTTGTCTACCCTATTTTACTCAAAGATCTTTCTTATGTTTTTAACCCTTTTAACAGTGTTGTTTCACCATTGTATTTGGTGAACAACTTTGTGTTAGGATGTTAAACGGGACAAGCGCGGGTCATCGTATAGACCATGATAGCAATTGTGTCAAGTATTTTTGGCAATTTTCTTGAGGGACTTGATCATTTTATTTAGGCTACTCAGATAGCGTCATCGAGGGACTATGATCTTTTTGTTTGT